TCTGTTTCAGTTTTCTACCAGACTCTCTAGAATTAAAGATGTAAAGAAGCTAAATGGAAAAGTGCAGTTTTAAATAAATCCCTTCCAGGTAAATAAATACATATCAGTCAGTCTGTTTATCAAATAAATGTCCTTATGTGGTTAACAGCAGAATATCTGAATGGAATAAATTCTGTACTTTGTTGTTTGAACATGGTTCAAAGATTCAAAACATTTATTGCTGTAATATTTATGCTAAACAGTAAAAGTTCATCAAATTATATTTATCTGTACTCAGCTACTGAGTGGCTAGACTTTGCTGTGAGTGTCTGCATTTTTTTTTTTTCATTAAGCCATTTTTTAAAGTTTTATTTTCATTTCTATTTTTCTTATATTTTCTGGCTGGTTCCAAATATAAAGTAATTTTCTTTTGTTTGTTTTCAGAACCCTTAACTCTTAGCCAACATTGAAACTATAAAGCATAATCCGCTATTGTTGTAAAACACAATAGATAAATCAGCAAAGAACCATTTCTTTGTTTTAACTTTTTGAAAGACATTGCTTTTCTGGTCTTTTTAACAACTCACTGTACTGTAAAAAATATTTTCATGGTAAAATTGTGTTGAAAAGGAGGCAAAGCCAAGAGAAAAAAACAGTGGAAGACATTTAAAAGGCCTTCAAAATCTCATGATCTATGTCACTTTAAATGGTTCCAGGAAAAAAAAAATGGATCACTGCAGGGACAGAGTAAGGGATTTGGGCTGGTTTAAAACTTTTGCACAGGGCTGTAATCCACTGTGTCACAGTTCAACCTTAAGCATGTCTTATGTTAGTATATGCATTATTTCTGTGCTGCACAAACGTATGGAAGTAAAACAAAACTGATAAAAGAGACTTGCTTCCAGATATTTCCAGAAAATATTTGCCTTATCTGATGAGAAGTGCACATGTGTTTACAATATTAAGGCCTTTTCCTGGAGCTGCTTCTTGCTGCTCCTCAATACAAAGCAAACCTGCAGCAGGACATTAAATGATCGTCTGAAAATAGAACTGTTAAGATGAAAAGGAGGATAAATAATGCAGAAAGAATATGCAGCCTCTTATGGGGATAACTAGTCACACGCACATAAAAAGGCTGCACGGTGAGGAAAAGTGAATGGATGTAACAGGAAGGAGGAGGACCCAGTGGAGAGACACACATGCTTCTTACTTCATCTCCTCCCTCTCTTGCTTGTCTGCCTGTTTTTTTTTTCTTTTCCACTACTCTCAGTCAGACTTCATGACATCCTCCATGTCTGTGGGGAGGAGTAATGTTGTCCCAGCAATGGTGTGTTTTTCCTGCCCAGCAGACACAACAGACAACCCTGCTGTCTCATCATTTTTTCATGACTTCTGATCAGAATACCTTCAAAAAAATGCAGCAACCTGGACAGACCGTCCTTTCGCCCACAGTTCCGCTTTGTTTCGTTGTTTTATAGAGAAACATGCTTATTTTAAAATCCCTTCCTGTGTTTATATTAGATCATCACATTAAATAAATGACTCATTTATGAACATGAGTGGTTACAGGGTGTGCTGATGCTAGGTCATATCTAATACATAAAACATTGAAGACAAACCTTTTCATAGCTCCGCCGCTGGATGCCTCATTTCCAGCTGAGATGTTTATTCATTTGCTAAATTAAACATGCGTGCTTGCAGAAAAATATCTGAATACCACCACATTCAGAGAAATTAAATAAATAAACTCTGTGAGATTTATGCTTGCCTTGAGAGACCCCTAGTGGTGGTAAATATGTAGCGTTTTTTGCACGGTAGGGGTAACATACGTTTTTTTTTTTTTACAGTCCCTACAGTTTTAACCATTTCAACCATTCAACTTATATATAAAGAAGAGAGAAAACCTTAGAAAATCCTTTTTTCCCCTTGGGTTTTACACAGTTTCTTAATCTGCTTTGATTAAATTAACAAAAGACTTGCATCATGTTGAAATATGGTAACATTTGAGGAATTACTTCATCTCTTTCCAGAATGTGAAGTCATTTAAGGTGCGTCTCTACTGTACCTGATTTAAACATCTGGAAGATTACAGAGGGGAAAGTTTTCTCCCTTGTTTTTAAAGCAACAGAATTTAGATTGGGTCTTGGAAATGTGGAAATCAGTCTTTAAATTTTAATATATATATATATATATATATATATATATATATATATATATATATATATATATATATATCTAAAATACTTTAAAGCACCTTACTTAGGACATTCTCATACATCAATATTGTTTGATTACACACGTTATTTAACCTTTACCATGTGCTTAGGTCAAGTCTTTGTGCTGTGCTCAAGTCTTTTGCAGCTTTTAACAGATTTCCTTGCAGAATTATAATGTTTTACAACCAGAGGTGAGTAGTGACTAGCTGCATTTACTCACTTTGATCTATTTGAGGGATATTTTTGACAAAAATGTTTTGGCAGGTCTTTTACCTTATAGTATCACTGCTCTTACTTGAGTTAAAATATTAGCTGTTCAACACAATGTGAGAAATTTCATGGAATAAAGAAAAAGCACATTTTAAACGAAAATTCAGAAGAAGCAGACAGTTAAAAGTTTATTAAAATGAATAATCTTTTTATGTATAAAATATTTGTAAAAGTTACCTTTATCTGCCAAGCCCTTTATGACTTGGAGGTCAAGGTAATATACAATAAAATGTACATTATTTCACTAGAGGTAGTTTACTCTGTTCTGTCATACATATACATTACATATAATAAAAAACATTTAATAAGTTTTTATGCTAAACATTTTGTTTAGAGGCATCTTTCTTCTGCCTGTATTTTTTCTTATTTGTAATTATTAATTTCTATTAGTCATTGAAATTTGCACATTTATATGATGGTCAGTTTTCTTATATCATTACTACTAATCCTCAGTACTTGTGTACTTAAAAAAATACTTTTACACTCTTCCTTGAGTAATTTCTTGGATGGCTAATTGTTATAGAAATATGCTGAAGTAGAGCTACATTTACTTGAGTACAACTTTCTGGTACTCTGACCTCTTATTCGACTAATAAGCATCCCCACAGCATGATGCTGCCACTGCCATTCGTCACCATGGAGATAAGGTATTCAGCATAGATTTTTCACCACATAGCATTTTACATGCAGAACAAATAAATCAGTGTTGACCTCATCCAACCAGAGCACCTTTCACCCACATGTCCATAGAGTCCTTACCTGGTTAATGGCAAACAGACAGACTGTAAGCCTTTTCTTTAGCTTTGCTGATTGAACAGAGCTCTGCGAGAACTTTAAAGCTATATTGTTTCACAACCTGACCCTGCTTTACTCCAACGCTCTCTCCCTGACCTGTCTGCTGCGATCCCTGATCATCATGAGGCTGTTGGTTTAATCTCAATGTCCTTCACAAAACAGATGGATTAGTGTTTGAATTAAACCATAAATGTGGATAAACAGTAAAAATGAGATAAATTCTGGCTGCTTATTCATTTCTTTGTCTTGTATTATCATGGGGGTTGCAATGTCTAACAATGGTTAAAAATTGATGTGGTGTGACTTTATTTTACAGGCCCATCACTAAAGAATATACTGTGAGTTCCAATGAGGCTCATTTCCTTAAGCGTGTTTGATTAGCAGTGTTAACCTATAAGTATTTTTAAAATGTTTATGTCTTAAAAATTTTTATTGGTTTAGTGTAATCTAATCTTAAAACATCCTGTTTCGATCAGCTGTAAGCAGGACACTTTCACAGCAAACATAAAAAAGAAGTCGGTGTGTTGTTAAACTGGTACTCACCTTTAGGTGTGTAAACTGGGTCTACTGGTTTAAATTACAGTACATTTTTTTTTTCTTTTTTACATTGTGACCTGAGATTTTTTTTTTTGTTCTGTAATGTTTCTCACAAAGCTGGTTTTGTGCTGGTTTAACATCGGCTGGTATAGTTACATTTTCTTTTTAGTTTGAAGGAACTATAAGTGAAATTTTACTAGGAGATGGGTTGTTCTACTGTCTGTAGACAAAAAAAAAGACATATGAGGAGCAACGGCTCTCTTTACCTCCACTTTAACCACCGCCATGACCCCCACCCTCCATTCTAACCCTTTGCCTCATAAGTGCAGATCTAAAGGAATAAATACAGAGGAAAACAGCATTACTGTTTGGAGGAACGGCTCTCTTTAAGAAGTAAGGGACTCATATTTTTACAGCACTGTAAAATCATAATTCCCGTTTTTGTTAATTAAATCAACCCCCCCATATACACACACACACACATACACATACACGTGCACACATAGATTCTTGTTAAGCTATATGTAGTGAGGATCATGTGTTGACTCCCATTGATTTTCAGTTATTTTCAACCCTTTCTATGCCCTAAGATCTTAGTCCTAAACCTGATCAAATAGCTTTTGCTGACCAGCAAAATGTTCACACTTTACAACAATCGGTGCTTAATTTGACGGTGAAATTGGAAAAATGGTTCTCACTCTGATACTCTGATGCCCAGACAGGAGCACACAGTTTGGTAGCATTTTTTCATTGCTTTGTTTTGGATTGGGTTAGGCTTTTGGGTGGGGTGAGTTACCCTTTAAGTTATGCCTTTCATGTAGACAATTTGGTTCCTAAATTAGACGAACATTTTAATACAACTCAACTGTTTTGAGATGTATTGATGTTTGGTGTTGAAATATCACAAAAAAGTCATTATCACTTTGCAAAGTAGTAAGGAAATTTTGTTTTACATATCGCCAGAGGTCAGCTATAGTAATATCTATCTATATTTACCCTGTATGAGACAAAAAAAGTCATGATTCGTTAATTCCAGCAGCAGTATTTTTCCAACTCCATGAAATCCCCCAGCAGTCCCTCCAACAGTAAACAGGCCCCACAAAAGGCCCATTTAGAAGGCTGAGCAACACCACGTCCAAATGCTGGAGTGCTGGAGTGCGTAGAATACTTTTTTCACTTTATTTGAATTTTTCCCCAGGCAGTGAGCTAAGGAGAAGCTACCGGATCTGCATACCTGCAGCAGTTCTGCAACCTCCTTATCTCGACTATTACACCTGCATGGCAGTCCAAAGGTTTTCAGTTACAGTAAGGGTGTGTCAGCATTCTGCACTTCCCTCTTTATTTATTCATTTGTTTACCTTGTTAGAGAACAGGTTTGGGGGGGCTCTGCTGGGGGAGGGGTGTCCATGAAAGATCGGGTTGGTTGGAGGGCAGCGGGCCCCTCTCCCGAAGCATCCTGTTGGACAGGTGTAAGGAGACTATGTTTGAAGGGTGTCTTCAAAAGGTCCAGGCTGTATGTTAGCATGGCAGCCGTGAGCTTCCTGATCTTTCTGGTATTAAGCGCGCTGTACCTGCCGGATCAGGCCGCCACTGAGCGGCCTCTGCCAGAGGTGACCCTCTTGATCTGGACGCATCCTTTCGGGGAATATCGCGCCCTTCCGGACTGTTTGGAGCTGTATCAGGTCAGTGGGTGTGCGCTCACAGATGATCCACAGGCTTACCCGCAGGCGGACGCCGTGATCATCCACCACCGGGAGATTGCTATAGGTGAAGCCGATCTCCCATCGGAGCCGCGGCCCGGAGCGCAGAAATGGATATGGATGAACTACGAGTCGCCAACGCACACGCCGGGATTGTGGTTCGTTGAAGGCGTTTTTAACCTCACTATGAGCTACCGGACGGACTCAGATATTTTCCTGCCTTATGGATATTTGGTCCCCCGGGGGCGCAAAGAAACAGTGCGCCATGGAGCAGGTTTTACGCACGCGCTCTCCAATTCAAGTCGCCCACGCAAACGCTTCGTCGCCTGGGTCATCAGTAACTGGTCGGCCAGTCACGCCCGCGTGGGTTTCTACCATCAGCTCCGCAGGTTCATCCCGGTCCACGTGTTCGGGGCGGCCGGGCGGCCGCTGCAGCGGGGCGAAGGCAGCGTGGCGCGGCTGCTGCGGCGCTACATGTTCTACCTGGCGCTGGAGAACTCGCAGCACACAGACTACATCACAGAGAAGTTATGGAACGCGGTGCAGGCCGGGGCGGTACCGGTGGTCCTGGGACCTTCCAGGAAGAATTATGAGCGCTTCCTGCCCGCAGAGGCCTTCATCCACGTCAACGACTTCCCCTCAGTGAGGGAGCTGGCCCGTTACCTGGTGAAGCTGAGGGGAGACCCGCTTCAGATGAGGCGGCACCTGGACTGGAGGAGGAGCTACAGCCTGCACCAGCCGAGGTTCTGGGGGGAGCATTACTGCATGGCCTGCAGGGCGGTGAGGAGGAGCACAGGACGGAGCCAGACAGTGACAGACCTGACCAGGTGGTTCCATTCATAGAGACTCCATGATGAGAAGACTGGAGCTGATGATTGGATTTGATCTATGACAGGAAAACAGGGAACTCAAGGAATTTAAAACTGTTATTTCTTTAATATTGGCTGTGAAAAAGTTTTAAAACATATTTAATTTAACGTGTCTTATTGACATCCCAAGCTGCTCTTGCTGGCTTGTTCACTTTTTGTTATTTCGGTACATTTCAGAGTTATTCATGTGACTGTTGTTAATCATCAAAGCCCTACTTTGATATATAAATCACTTTGACATAAATAAATAAATAAATAAATATAAAAATTGTTCTAATTAAAAAGGAAAATATTTCAAAATATTCCACTGAGGTATTAAATGCAGAAATGTTTCTTTGTACCAGACGCCACATTTATTTAGAATATTTTAGCCAACTGCAATACAAACAGTATTTCCTTTAGAATAAGATCATCCATCTTTCAGATTAAACAAACCTGGCATAAATATTTCCCCAAATCTTTCAAAGCTGACTTCTAAAAAGACTAGAGAGCTGCTGATTAAGACCATAAAGGCTACAAAAACCTCTAGGTCATTTGAAACATAATACAAATACATTAGGGCTAGTTAAAAGCTTTTGCTCATTTCCATATTTCCTCTTTTGTCTTTTAAAGAAAGAAATTTGTATTTATTTCATGTTATTTCAGAAAAAAATATAATGAAATGTGATTCCAGTCCAGTTGCAAATGACTATGGCTAATGAACCCCTGATCTAAATGTTGAGACTGATTAAAAGAGGTCATATTATTTGCATTTTAAATGACTGGGTCAGAGCTTTAAAATGCTTGCAGATCAAACACATTATTATGCAGAAAGAAATCCATTATCTATATTTTCTTAAAGGTGTGGGTTCCCACCAGCATACAGAGACACAAAGGACAGACAGCCATGCTGGAAAAATACTCTGTTTAAAGAGAGGAAAATAACACCTCCTTTTTTGTCACCATGGTAGGCAGCTTGAGTAAATGGTGAGAACCCATTCATAATCTCAATTCAAATATACTATAAGTAATCCTTGCTGCAAGACAACAGTGTTAACCACTTAAGCCAAAATGCTACAATAATTAGACTGTTTGTTAGCTGGTTAAAAAGTCAAAGGCATCAATTGCAGAAAAGGAAAAAGAAAATCAGATAGAACATCTGTTTAAAAATGTTTCACTTAAATACATAGTAGAGGATTTTCACAAATGAAAAAAAAATAAAAAAGAACATGCACAACCGAGGGAATCCCTATTAAATGCGTGCGAGAAAAGGCACCAGCCCATTTCTCCTTCACTGGTAACGGAAAATGGGGACAAGCACGTAGGACAGCCTTACGTAAACCTATCACATTATGATTGACAATTAGGAGGACCACTTATTTTGACGATCCATCCAAAAAGAACATCCTCCACTATACCTTTAATGGCAAGAGTTTAAAGGGACCTATAGTGACATTCTACACCTATAACAAAACACCCAAAAACATATACATGTTAAAGTAGATCAATATACTCCTAGCATCTTCATCCTGTTAGTGTTAACTTAGTATTTTCAGAACCAGAAAATTATTTTTGCACCGGGCGTTATTAGCAGAAATAATGTGGTACATACCAAAAAATAAA